TTTATAATGGTATATAATCTCATTCTATTTTTTTAAATAGCTTTTGTAGTTTGCTGCAGTGCGCATTCTATAATTGAGCAAATGGAATTTGTAAAAGTGCTTTTAACGATTGCAAAAAAGTTTTAGGGAATATTAAAACACATTAGAAAACAGAACTTTGCCACAATATATTTATTCATGTTTATGCACTTCTGTGACTGCCAAGCAATGCTATCAATTTATCCATTGACTCATTTATTTCCCGTAGGCCAGCTGCCATGTCCTTAACGGCAAGGATGAGGGCATCTTGACTAGCGAGCACCTCGTTGGTCAGGACTCGTGCGCCGGTGCGCCTCTGTGAAGGGGTATAACGAGTGGATTGGGAAGTAGACGGCTGGACTTCAGCTTCTTCATTTCCATCTGCTGTCTGTGGATGTTCTGCAAAAGCCGGAAGTTTTGAGTTATGATGATTACTTGAATACATTCCTTAAAATAAAGATTTTGATTTAAGCAAATTACCGTGTTGTAATTGCTCCTGTATTAGGTCAATCTCACCCTCACTCCTTTCTATAATGCCGCTCAAGCTTGACTGTCCTATAATTGCAGCCATTCTTTCATCGAAGGCAGACAGATCAGGTGCCCCCTGCCCTCCACCCGTGTCTTTTTTCCTCTGTTGAACTGAAATTATTCTTTTGGCCTCGAACTTCATGTCACACCACTTGTTTTTTACTTCGGCAACCGTCCGAATTTCTGGTGAAACCACATTAACGGCTTGTGTTACCGTATCCCATGCTTCTTTTTTACCTGTGCCCATTACGCCAGTGGATACACTTTTAAATAGCACATTTTTTCTGACTTCCACCTCCGACAGCAAAACCTCACGTTCATTATCGTTAAAGTTCTTTTTCTTTGTCTTTTGTTTCGGTGCCATAATTGTCTTTTTCTGGACGAGTGCCGCTTTGCGGAAAGCCCTTATATGGAGCTGGTTTGGGCGTGTATTATGCTAATTACTAACCTCGTGCACGCGGGCACTCATTTAGAAGACTCCAAATTCACTAACAGAAGAACGAGTTTAAGAGCAAGCTCATGTGCGTACGCACGTGTTGTGAATTAGCCGGAAAGTTTTTGTGAGAAGGTCAAATGTGCGTATAAATACGAAAAACGTATGCAGTTATTAGTGAATGAGACCCATTCTGTCACAGTCTTCAGCGGGTGTGCCCAGGATGGCCACCAGATGACTGTGTTCTGTGAGCACATGGCTTGTGTTGTGTTTGTTTGTTGCCATGTGCTCTCTCCTGTCTATTGTCTTGCCCCGCCCATCTTGTTACCTCATTATTGTTTAAGTTGCTCCACCTGTGTCTCCCTCGCTAGCCTCCTCATTTGGTTTCCTATTTATTCTCCTGGTGTCTGTAATCCTGTGCTGATCCGTTGTTTTTTCATTGTGTGTGTTATGCCTGCATGTAGTGCAGTTCCTAGCCTGCCTGTCTGTTTTTCCCCCTCGGGGTTGTTTTAGTTTGTTTTTGTTTCATTTTATTATTAAAAGAAAGAACCATTCATCCTGCACTTGAGTCCTCGCTTCATCTCTCCACACGCACCGTGACACAATGAGCACATGGCGAACTGTCAAAACAAAAACAACAACCTGCTGATCAGACCGAAGTCATGACAAGTGCTGCTTAGTATCCATCCATCCATCCATCCATCCATCTATCGGAACCTGTGATACTTTTTGTCAGAATGTTTGGATGAATAAAAGAAAAAACAGCACTTATTTAAAATAGAAGTCTTTAATATCACTTTTTATTAACTTAACACATCCTTGCTGAATAAAAGTATTAATTTCTTTCAAAGAAAGAAAACATGTTAATACTCTTATTAAAAAATAAAAAATACTGATCCCAGAGTTTTGAACAATAGTGTATATTACGTTTCATAATAAAAAATAAATACATATAATGCCTTTTTTACATTTATAAAACATACATGTATAAAATTGTATTATCATTAATAGAATATCATTCTATAAAATGTAAACTGCTGACACACAAAAGACGATTTCCATGAATACATACAACAATAGGGCAATTTATTTTCATTTATTTTTTAAATAAATGGTCAGTAATATATGTATATAATGTGTATAATGAATTATTATATTATTATATGATGATATTATTAAGAACAATGTTAATACACACACACACACACAGATATTAAATATTTAACATCTGTTTGGATGCTGGGTTAATTATTAGGACAGTGCTGCACAATCATTTTTTTCCTAAATTTATCAGAAAATAAAGGTCATTTTCACACAATGAATATTTTCTATTTTTATAATGAATTTAAGATATGTCAAAAGTATGTCATTAAGGCAATTTAATCTATACACAAAGAAGTAAATGTCTAGTAGTTTGTATTTGAGTCTGTCTTTTGTTTCACCGACACAGCATGAGCCGAAAGACTGAGCTCTTTCTAAAGCTGGGGGATTTCTTCTGGCGGGAACATCTGTCAGCTGAAGCTCTGCCCTATGGTATTAAAGGCAGCGGTATGTACAGTTTATGTTGCTCTGCTCTCTTATAATCTTTCCTTTAATACAATAGTTAAATCTACCACAAAGTCATTGAGCTAATGCTTATGTTAAATCTGACTTGAGTACATGATCGTATAAATCTTGTTGCTGAAACCTCACATGCCCCCGAAACCTTTCAGTCAACATATAAAGAAGTTAGTCTGTTTGCTCTGTAGTCAGCATGCTTTTACTGCATGCTGCTCATCATTCTGCATGCAATCATGTTGATACATTCATAATGGTGCACTTTGTTCAAATACTTTCTTCGGTAACACTTTACTTGAAGGGGTGTGCATAAGACTGACATGACACCTTCATAATCATGACATGACACATGTCATGAATATGAAGGAGGTTTTATGCATGTTTATGACAACTGTCATTAAGTGTCATTCGCTCAGTTATGTCATTTTTAATGCAAATATGACATTATTTGACCTAACCCTAACCTAACCCTACCCCTACCCTTACCCCTAACCATAGCCCATAACAAAGACATCTCAAACAATGTCATCTTTGCATTCAAAATTACATAACTGAGCGAATAACACTTAATGACAGTTGTCATAAACATGCATAAAAAACCTTCATATTCATGATATGTGTCATGTCATGATTATGAAGGTGTCATGTCAGTCTTATGCACACCCCTTCAAGTAAAGTGTAACCCTTTCTTCTTTGTCTCTGCAGAGCTCCTGCTTCTGAAGGTCTTGGCAATGCCTTCCAGCTACACAATGCCAGCAAACATTGAGAGGTGAAGTAGGGCCGAGCTGCTTTCACAAGTATCTAAACTCTGAACTCAAGCTCCCATAAGCTTGTAGAAACCCATTCCTAAGAAATGGTCTTTTGCTTCAGTTGCTTATGACTTGTTGTGGTGTGGCGTGAATTACTGCACACATTACAAATGAATTACAGTAATGCTCTTGCTCATGTTCAAAATGATCTTGCTTAATATAATAACAATTGAAAGGACAGAATGAAAGAAGAAGTGAATCCCAGCAGCCCCAAGTGTGTTACTCACAATCCTGTTGCCAAGTAATTTTAATTTGTACTTTTTCATTTGATCAGATGTTTGTTTAAAAATTCACTCACCCTCAGGTCATCCAAGATTAGGATGAGTGTGTTTCTTCATCAGATTTGGAGAAATGTAGCATTGCATCAGTGTCTCAGCAATGGATGCTCTGCAGTGAATGGGTGCCGTCAGAATGAGAGTCCAAACAGATGATAAAAACATCACAATAATCCACAAGTAATCCACAGCACTCCAGTCCATCAGTTAACAGCTTGTGTAGAGAATAGCTGTGTGTTTGTAAGAAACAAATCCATCATTAAGACATTTTAATCAGTTGCTTCCAGCCAAAATACAAGTCCATAATCCATAATAACATTTCCTCCAGTGAAAAAGTGCATCTCCTGTTGTCTCTCACATCAAAATCCAGCCACATATTTGTTTAGAGCTGTTTTGTCTTGTAAATAGTGCTTGATCTGTGCAGATTTCTCTCCTGATTCAGACAAGGCAACTTTTCACTGGAGGAAACGTTGTTATGGATTATGGACTCATATTTTAGCAGGAAGCAATGGTTTGAAGTTAAAACAATCTTAACAATGGATTTAACAAACACGCAACTTTTGTCTTCTCAAGACATTAACTGGTGGACTGGAGTGGTGTGGATTACTTGTGGATTATTGTGATGTTTTTATCAGCTCTCATTCTGACGGCTCCCATTCAGGATCCACTGGTGAACAAGTGATAGAATGCTTCTCCAAATGTGATGACGAAACAAACTCATCCACATCTTGGATGGCCTGAGGGTGAGCAAATTGTCAGCAAATTATCTTTGGGTGAATTATTCCTTTAAGCTGTGTTTAGACATTGTAAAAATGTATAATTTAATATAAAATGCATGGGAAATAAAATGGCTTATATAATATTTAGGTTGACAAGCCACATTTTCTGAACTAAAGCACCTCTTTCACTACAAAACAAACTTGTTGTGGCCTTTGTTGTGTACCGCACTCATGGAAAGTGCTCTGTGTGTCAGCAGTTTAGATTGCAGGACGTGTGCAGTCATTGGAAACGGCTTTTCCATAAAAAACAGTTCACTGGGGGAGATCATTAACAAATACGACGTGGTGATCAGGTAAATAAAACCTCCACCTCTGTTTGACCTTTCAGTGTTTCTGTTACACTGTCTTTTATTAGCATTTAAGACTCCTCAATATTTTTTTTTAAAGACTCTTTTCTAATGTAGGTTCTCTAAGTTAAGAGCTTTATGAGCCTTTTAGTTAATTTCTCCTCTCCGTCTCTTGTTTTCCATTGTCCACTGAATGTTTTTTCTTTCTATGTACAGCGTGAAAGCCTTTCCATTAGTCTGGCTTGTATTTTGCATTCTTGTTTTATTGTAAGTCTGTTGAGTGGCATATAACAGCCTCACTTAACATTACCTCCTGCAATTAGAGCTCTGCTTGGCTACTGTTTCTCAAGCCGCTTTATAGCCTTGGAATGAACAAATGCCATTTTATTTTTTCTAAGCCTCTAACAAATGGCAGAATTTGGCTGAGTGTGTTTTTCCATGGTCTCTCGTCCTCGCTGTGTTCTCAGAAGCTAATCACGGCGGGGGAGGAGAGATGAGCCGCTTGACATTTGGTGTTGAGTTACAAATCCTGATGCTTCGAAATCGCCATTAGGCAGAGATTTGAGCAGAACACTAGCTCCTCTCCAATCTCATTTGTGAGAAAAAGGGCGGTTTTTCCTGTACGGATTCACTCCCAAGAAAAGTAAGTTATAATGTGGGGGTTAGTTGATAAGGATGTGCTTTTAGTGTCTCACGCCGAGTCCATGACGGTCATAAAACTGTGGAGAGCAGGGATAATTGTAACACTTTTGGTTATGCTCATTAAAAAAAAAATAAAAGTTTTAATCTTGCCCATTACACATATATGACATATTTTATATTTTAAATACATATTTGAAATGCATGTATCATGCTCATTCTGTTTTTATCAGCTCTCATTCTGACGGCTCCCATTCAGGATCCACTGGTGAACAAGTGATAGAATGCTTCTCCAAATGTGATGACGAAACAAACTCATCCACATCTTGGATGGCCTGAGGGTGAGCAAATTGTCAGCAAATTATCTTTGGGTGAATTATTCCTTTAAGCTGTGTTTAGACATTGTAAAAATGTATAATTTAATATAAAATGCATGGGAAATAAAATGGCTTATATAATATTTAGGTTGACAAGCCACATTTTCTGAACTAAAGCACCTCTTTCACTACAAAACAAACTTGTTGTGGCCTTTGTTGTGTACCGCACTCATGGAAAGTGCTCTGTGTGTCAGCAGTTTAGATTGCAGGACGTGTGCAGTCATTGGAAACAGCTTTTCCATAAAAAACAGTTCACTGGGGGAGATCATTAACAAATACGACGTGGTGATCAGGTAAATAAAACCTCCACCTCTGTTTGACCTTTCAGTGTTTCTGTTACACTGTCTTTTATTAGCATTTAAGACTCCTCAATATTTTTTTTTAAAGACTCTTTTCTAATGTAGGTTCTCTAAGTTAAGAGCTTTATGAGCCTTTTAGTTAATTTCTCCTCTCCGTCTCTTGTTTTCCATTGTCCACTGAATGTTTTTTCTTTCTATGTACAGCGTGAAAGCCTTTCCATTAGTCTGGCTTGTATTTTGCATTCTTGTTTTATTGTAAGTCTGTTGAGTGGCATATAACAGCCTCACTTAACATTACCTCCTGCAATTAGAGCTCTGCTTGGCTACTGTTTCTCAAGCCGCTTTATAGCCTTGGAATGAACAAATGCCATTTTATTTTTTCTAAGCCTCTAACAAATGGCAGAATTTGGCTGAGTGTGTTTTTCCATGGTCTCTCGTCCTCGCTGTGTTCTCAGAAGCTAATCACGGCGGGGGAGGAGAGATGAGCCGCTTGACATTTGGTGTTGAGTTACAAATCCTGATGCTTCGAAATCGCCATTAGGCAGAGATTTGAGCAGAACACTAGCTCCTCTCCAATCTCATTTGTGAGAAAAAGGGCGGTTTTTCCTGTACGGATTCACTCCCAAGAAAAGTAAGTTATAATGTGGGGGTTAGTTGATAAGGATGTGCTTTTAGTGTCTCACGCCGAGTCCATGACGGTCATAAAACTGTGGAGAGCAGGGATAATTGTAACACTTTTGGTTATGCTCATTAAAAAAAAAATAAAAGTTTTAATCTTGCCCATTACACATATATGACATATTTTATATTTTAAATACATATTTGAAATGCATGTATCATGCTCATTCCTGCTTGTTGGTACATTCAGCAGTAACTTTAACCATATTTCAAAGACAATACAAGTAATTATGAAATTACATATAAAGACATACTGAAGTCCTACTTAAGTGGGTCATAAAATGCACTTAAGTTCCACTAAATACATTAAATTTAAACTTAATACATTTTCATTTAATTTTAAATAACATGCAGTTAAGTGACTTTAAACATTACATTCAGTGCACACTTCAGTATATTCTTTTTAAGTATAATATTTCCGTAATAGTAACTCATTAAAAGTATGCTAAAGTTTTAAAGGGTGGCTCTTCACAGTTTTGAACATCCTTAATCTTTTTATCAGAGAGGACCCTCCACTCCCAATGGCGGATGTCTTGGCAGTAAATCTCCCATTGTGTTGCCATTGTTTGTTTTTAAGTAGCCTTGATAGTGTTTCATCACAGGCTTGGCTCTGCCTCAGGAATGTGTGCTAGTGCAATCTACACAAATGATACTCACCTGTGGCCTGTAGCACGGAGCAAGATGAACAAACTCGGAGTTGCAGAGTAAGTTTTGAGTTGACAAAACCCGATAAAGCCAGCCTGGTTAAGATCAGGTTCACCGGGCTCACAAAGTTCGATATAAACGTTCTCTGTCAGCTCAGAGTTTGAACCAGAGTTTGTGATTAACTCTGGAGCGCGTGCACCTGAAAGTGTGACACGTGCAGCAAACAGCCAATCACACAGAACATGAAGAGCATCAGCAAAGCGTCACTTGGATGCACTTCTCGCGAGAGTCAGCGCAATTCAATTACCTGTGCAGCAAACAACCAATCACAGGGAACGTGTGGAGAGCGTCAGCAAAGCGTCATTTGGATTCACTTCTCGCGAGAGTCAGCGCAATTCACTTTCCTGCTGAAGATTAAGAGATGTCATTATTAAAAATTTAATACATTTAAATGCATTTACAAGGCAGGAATTACCACTTCTGTGTGAGCAGCAGAGTTTGGCAGCAGAAAGAAAATATATGACTATGCAAAGGAATCAACTGAATTTAATTTATATATAGTTTCACACAGAGCTCAAAAGAAAAACATATGTTTAGTCGTTTTAAAAGTTGGATATATTAAAGCTTTATCTATCTATCTATCTATCTATCTATCTATCTATCTATCTATCCATCCATCCATCCATCCATCCATCCATCCATCCATCCGTGTGTGTGTGTGTTTAATTTAAATATGATGTTTACAATTAATTGCCTTTATATAATAATTATATGAATATATTATATAAATTATAAACAATTACAGTTAATATAATATAAATATTATAAGTAGCTGCAAAAGTCGGGCAATTTTGTCTCTAAAATTCTTTGACTGTAAACTGCCTTAATTTTGGAGCGAGAGATATGGGGGAGTGGCTTCATTGCATCAGATATATGTCACTTTGCTCACAGCTGATTGGTCTAGTTTGGATTTGCAATCTATAACCCAGAATAAAACCTGCTCTGCAGCAGGGTAGCCGTGTAGCGCAAGTTACCATGGCGATGAAACCAACCCATTTTCTTGAGCCTGAAAACTCAAAAGTTTTGAGAGACACACACGCACGCACACACGTACACACACACACACACACACATGCGGTTTATGGTGAGATATATTGCGGCCTTCAGGTCCCCCTACTCAGTTATGAGGTTATGAGTTATGCACAAACAGATTTTTTTGGAAAAAAAAAATCATATTTATTTTTCTCTTTTTAACAAATTAGGTCTGTAATTGTCTTTCCATAGGGAATAATGGGAAATGCAGTTTGGCTGCATAAGCCTGTCACCTCATAAATCGCCTAAATGAGGAGTGTTTTCTGCCAA